CCTGCTGTGTGTGCCAACGTGACACATCCATGTAACACCTTGATTTAGGGTTTGCTTCCCAAAGACCTATAGGAGATCATGCTTCCTACTCTAGAAAGCCAATATTTTTGCTCCATTTCTAGCTTCACAGGCGTGCTTAGGAATCTGGCACTGGGCCCAGAAGTTCCAATTCCTTCTAATTCCTCTAATTTCTCAGAGGCCCTGAAGAGATTAATATATCCAAGAAAACAACTAACTCTTCTTTTTGACACTCACTCACCGAAATTATCATCCTGTAACCAGGTGTGAACCAAGCAATCTTTAACTTCATTATTCACGAGAGTGGGCAACTGAAAAGTCTCCGTGGAAAAGAAGGTGAGAGGTACAGACAACTTGATCAGCATAAGGTCATTTTTAGAAGAAGTGACAGTGAAGTTTGGGTGAATGAAGATCTTCTCGTAAGGTAGAATCTCCCCAATAAAGTCTTGAAAACTTCGAAACCTACCATGAAAGATGACCTGCAGATCTCTGGAAAACAAATGAGAGAAAAAAAATCGACACAATCACACATCACAAGGCTAACATCACGTACACACACACACATACACACACAATTTTCTTCTATAACAACCCACTTATCCTTCTCTTCTCATCTCTGTCCATTTGATCTTTTATGCATCACTACCACAGGTGGTCATGTAAGGTGTGCACTATATAAATTCAATAGGTTGCCATTCGCAGAGCCTATGATGTAAATGGTGCCTCCAGGAGTGAAGCAAGTCAATGGCTTGGGCTCTGCTCTTAGAATGATTCCAGAGAGAAGCTCCAATTCAAGACCTAGAAAGTTGAAGGAAGCATGCAAATAGATAGTCAAGGCTTCTATGAAAGCAGTAGGTTCCATTAGGGAGGCGCCTTTGGGAGCTGGAGGGAATAAGAAATGTGAGATTGTACAAAGAAAATAAGAAACAGCTTAAAGAGTTAAAATGTTTTAAAGCTAGGGAGGATCATCTGACAATACTATGTTCTACTAATCTCTATGAAAACTTTGCTGAATCAAAGGGTTTTCTGGTGGTCCTTTAGGGGAACAATAGTAAAAAATCCTGGATGTTCCACTGAGATCCAGTGGAGATCCACTCACTAACATGGCTCAAGAGCCTAAATTCAAAACAGGACACTCTCCTGAGGCCCCTGAGTCTCCCACTCAGGGGTCACTCCAACCACAACAGTAAGATAAGTACCACGTTGGTACTGAGCACCAGTTTTTCTGTTGAACTCTCAAATGTTAAGTTTATTTTGTCACCTAGCAACAAAACCATTTGTTTCTCAGTCTGTCCTTATCACTTTGTTGGGGCTTTATAAGATATAAAGTCTAAATGCATATGACAAGAAGAGCCCTAATAAGGTAGATGCCTGAAACCACAGAGTACCGAACCCTATACATACTGGTTTTTCCCGTACACACATACCTATGATAAAGTTTAACTTTTAAATTCGGCACAGTAAGAGATTAACAACAATAATTAATAATAAAATAGAATAATTATAACAATATACTATAATCAAAGTTATGTGAATGTGGGGTCTCTCTTTTCCTCTCAAAATAATGTTATTGTACTATACTCACCCTTCTTCTTGTGATGACATGAGATGACAAATTGCCTATTAAGTTGAGAGCTTTCACCCTTTCACTTAAAGGAAGCACATCATGGCTTCTCTTTGGCATATCCAAATTGCCAGCATCAGTACTCGTGGTTTGGGGACACTATTCAGTAAAATAAGGGTGACTTGAACACAAGCACTGTGATACTGTAACAGTCCAACCGATGACCCCGATAGCTAAGTGACTAAGGGGCGGGGAGCACACACAGTGTGAATACGCTGGATAAAGGGATGATTCACGTCCTGGGCAGGACAGAACGTGAGGACATGAAATTTGATCATACAACTCAGAACAGGCATGCAATTTAAAACTTATGAATTCTTTATTTCTGAAACTTTCCATTTATATTTCTGGGTCACAGTTGACAGCAGGTAACTGAAACTGTGGAAAGCAAAACCATGGATAAGGGGGGAATACTGTATATATTCTAGAGTTATATACCAACAGGTATACTTGCAGATACAGACTGGTATGTGTACACACAAACACATAGAAACATTACAAATATATACACAAGAATACTCTCCAAGGTACACGGTACAAATATGTTTACAGTAACACAGTTCAAAATAGACGAAAACTAGAAATAATTCAAATGTCTGTCAAGAAAAGAATGAACAAATTGTGTGATATTCACACTGAAATATTGTATAGCAATGAAAAAATGAAATAAAGTCACACATCTAATACTTTGGGTGAATCTTTTAAACATTAAGAAAGACCTGCAGAGTTATTTTTACATATATGGGGGTGCCAAAAAAATGTATGCACATGAGTTGTATTCATCTTTTGTTATCGGTCTATATTGAGCGTTACAATTTTAATAGTTTTTTTCTTTCTTACCATGTGTATACATATTTTTGGCACCCTCTGTATGTAAGATATTTTATTACACCGCATTATTTTTTTCCTTTCTGGATATGTTGAAAATAAGGATGTGGAATACTCCTTAGGCAAGTTTTCCCTGAGTAGCTGAGCCTCCCCTCACCATCACAGCCCTGGGATTTCCTGACCGGCACATTTTTTTTAGAATTCCCACAAGGAGTGCTGAGACCCAGTCTTGGAGCTCCGGAACAGAGTAACGGACTGACCCCCGTACTTACGGTAAGAAGCAGTGTGCCGCCGTCAGCACCCACCGGGAGGCAATCAGAGTCCCCACACAGGGCTGGTAACTAGAGTTCAGGTACAATAAGAAGAGGTGATGATTTAACACTTTCATGTCGTGACTCACAAATGGAACAACACCTGGAACACAAAAAAGAGGAGAATCGAGGGATAGAACCCAGCTGATTAAAGGGAACGTGGAGTGGTTATAGAGATTTTAGGGGGCGAGTGTCAGACAATATCAATATTTACCACTTATTAATCACTTAGCCCCTACTCTATGGTATGAAACAGCCATACTGTAACAACACTGTACTAAGCATTTCACTTACTTTTTAAAAAATGTTTAATTTTCAAAGAAAAAGAACGGTGGGGTGGGTAAATTTTCTGTTATTTTACAGATTAAGGGTTTACCATTAGGAAACTTCCTTGAGGCCACCCAACTAGTGAATGAGGGGTGGCTCAAGCACCCAGATTTCAGTCTGTCTGATTCCGCATCCCAGTATGCACTTGTCCTCTGTGTGACCTCCCAGCAGCTCGCAACCTGTCTGCTGCTTTCCAGGTGGCATAGCTTATTTCCAGTCTCCCAAAGGCTTGGCATATCGTGGCTCTACCCAGTCACAGCAATAGAGCCCTTCCTACAGAGCTGCCTTGCTTTTCCTACTAGCCAATGGCAGGGATTCTTTGAAACCAGTCATCTTGATGCCAACAGGAATTAATTGATTAAATAAAATAAAAATGAAAACTTTAATTCTGGCATGAGGATACAGGAAGAGATGCAGTCATTCTCTGGAAACAGGTGCCTGGATTCAAATTCTGGCTCCATCCTTACCAGCAGTGTGAACTTTGACAAATTATATAAATCTCTGTTTCTTAATTTCCTTTAATTAAAAGTATTTGTACACTGAGATCTTAACTGAACTTCTATCCTAGGGTGGTTGTGAGGATTAAATGTGCTGATATACATAAGTCGATTGGAAGGTTGTTTGGCATATAATGAATGTTCAATGATGTTATTTCTTACTAATGCAGTTTTTAAGAACAGAGTATCCTAGGACGATGAGACAACCACAAAACGTGTAATATACACATGATGGGAGTATCAGAAGGAGAAGAAAGAGAGGAAGGAGCAGAAGAAAGTGCTAACTCAGACCCTGTCTTGAGCTCCAGACCCTTAACGTGTAGAGTCAGGTGGACATCTCTGCTTGATGTCTCAAATGCACCTTGAACTCAGTAAGTAAAAAAATGTAACTTGTCTTCTTCCCCAAAGACCTCCTTCTTTTCCAGTGTTCTTTGTTTCAGTACATTGCATCACTCTTCACCAGAAATGTGAAGGACATCCTTTCCTTTTCCCCACCCTTCATTCATCACATTCAATCCATCATCACTTCTGTCTCATTTTCTCCCTGGAATCTCTTTACTTCATGCTCACTGCCACCACCCTAGTTCATTCTGTTGCATGGAGTGCTACAACAGCCTCCTAAATTTCTTTTCCAGATCTTTCCCACCCACAACTCATATCTGTACCCAAATCCATTCTCCATAATGAAGTCCCATGATTTTTTTTTTTAAATCACAAACGTGGTCATGTAACTCCCATAGTTAAAACTCTTTTTAAAGGCTTTCTGTTACATCCAGGATCGTCTCTAAAATCAAAGCTAGAAGACCGCTACTATATGTTGGGTCGTCGGGAAAGTCATGACGTATTTTTCTGATTTTCAATGCAAAAATGCATCATGACTTTCCCGACAACTAAATAATTCTTAATCCACTTCTGTCTTCTGCACTCCAGCTATATAGGTGGTCTTTTAAACATGTCACACCTCCTGACCTTCATGCTTGCTGGTTCCTCTGTGTGAATGAAATAGCCCACCCACCCCTTACGCTACTTAAGTTGGTTAACTCCCCTTGGTCTAATGCACCTTCAGGAAGCACTGCATGCCCTTCAATGATAGATATTATTTTTCTCATGTTTCACATGAGAAAACTGAGGTTGAGAGAGATTAGGGTATTTGTCCCAGACCACCTACCTATTAAGTAGGAAAGCATTATTGCCTAACTACAGAGCCATACTGATTTCATTCTGGGCAAGTTATTTAATTACTCTGTGGCTCAGTTTCCTCATCAGTAAAATGAGAACAATAATAATACTTATCTTGCAAACTTGTTGTAAGAATTAAATGAGTTAATATGTAGAAAACAGTGCAGTGTCCATTATATAAGTACTATCTATATAAGTATATGCTTTTATGGTAATGATGATTATTATTATTGCACATTATGCTTTAAATCCCAAATAACAAAATCCACTTTTTCCTTTTGAAAGACCTTACAGCAATATACCTGCTGTTTTTGCTTTTTATGCCTTTTAAAAATTCCTATGTCCCCTTCTAGGATTCTACCTCCATTCTCCCTCTTGGCATACCTCCATGTTTCAGCCAAAAAAGTTTCTCAGACATTCAGAGGAGGTTTTAAGCCTGTAATAAAAAGGTTTATATAGATGCTACAAATGGCTGGGCCTGTCCAGAAAATGACTAATATGTCACCTACTTCCCAAACTGCCATGTTCCTGATCCACTAGTGCTCCCTCTCCAGCAAGCTCCACGGCCTCACCCCCACCAACAGAGTCCTAATGACCTTGACAAAGAGACACCTTCAGTCACTCACCAGTCACCATCAGCAAGGTTAACAGGACACCCTTCATGTTGATGCCTGTATTCTGTTCTGAGCATAAGGCTGTAGTGGAAAGTAACAGCTACAAAGGAGGGTCAGAATTTACACGCTGCCTGGGGATTCTCAACAGCGGGAGGAGGTGCGGGCGGAGGACTGGGAGGAGGATGCTATAAAGGTCAGTCGTGTAGAGGCCTCTCCGTCCAGTCTTGGTCCTTGGTGTGAAAAAGGGCAGTAGATATGGAAACCTTCTCAGTCGAAGTGAAATCTGCCCGATGGAATCATGCGTTCCAGGGATCTGAGCTTTATCCGCCTCATCCAGGAAAAAGAATTCCCAGGTAGGAGTCAAGAGAACCTTCCGTGGAGCTAAAATGCATCCCAGTTCCCGTTTGTTTTCATCAGTTCCTGACCCACAGTGTGTGACTGGCACCCCGTCCTCTTCATGGACCACTGACCCCTCTCCTTTCTGCTATTCTGAGGAAGCAGAGCTGTCCCCACCCCTCTGTGTGACACTGGCTCCCCGCCCCATTGGGCATGTCGCCCTCAGGCCACCCCTCCTCAGAACTGCTTACTTGTCCAGGTTCATATCTCACAACCACACACACCATCTGAAAAAAGAGTTCCCAACCATGACCAGTACCAGCGGCCCCTGTCAGATCTCTACACCTGTTCTTCCCACGCTGTACTCTAGGACATGGCGCCCCCATCCCTCTCTCTGTTTCTCATTTGCAGCTGCCTTTTTCAGATTCATTTTGGTGGCAAAATATAACAATATTACTAAAACAGGAAATCAGTTAGATGGTAGAATGAAACAATAATAGATTTAGAGTTCCTGAAAACCTGAGATATTCTATGGAATGAGGCTGGAGACAGATATGTCTCCTTATGTACATGGAATCTATAATAACACTAATAGATAAAGAACTTAATAGCAAATAATTTATAAATATACAAGGAAATACTACACATGTGCGTGCATACACATACACACACACACACACACACACACACACACACACACACACACCATCCACCCATCCATCCATCCATCCATAGGATTCTAAAGTTAGTTTTTCAAAGAGAAGCTTTAAGAACAATGTCCATTTCAGATATCAGTATCCCAAAACAAAAAGGGAAAAAATAAATGGGATTGGCAAACTAAAGGAAGCATTCAAAGGCTAAAATAATATAAAAGTTTATTAGTATTGAAACAAGAAAACCCACACTTAGTAGACTGGTAGTCCTGGAAAAAAGTGTGCAGGGTGGGCAGGTGGGACAGGGACAGCAGAGAGGGGATGAGAAGAGACGGTGACAAAAACAAGATGAGGTGAGGATCAAGGGAGGTTCCTAAACCATGCTAGGGGGTTGTTCTATAGACTCTAGGGAACTACTGAAGAGTTTTAAGAAGGAAAGTAATATGACCTCATCTGCATTGTAAGAAAAAACTACAGTCCTAATTAAAAGAGGGAATGTCACATTGAGCAACAGTAGATGGGCACGTACATTCGTACGCACAAGTGGATAGGCTAATGGCCTGGATTAGGAGGACAGCAATGAGAATGGAAAGATCTGGATGGATTTTAGACTTCTGGAAGTAGGGTGGACTTTGGGATTGAGTAGTAAGAAAAAGAGAGGACTCAAAGAAGTGGAAGGTAGAGCTATCTCCTAAAATATGAAAAACTGGCAGAAGAATAAATTTGAAAGGCTAGAGGAGTGAGGAGTGTAATTGGACATGCCAAATTTCAGGGGCCTAGAGGAGATGCAAACAATGGCTTCTAAGGGGCCGTTGCAGATGTGGGACTGAAGGTCTGTGCTCGAGGCACCAGTTTGAAACTCACAGACAGGTAACAGTCCCCAGTGCCAACCTCCTCCAGAAAATCCGTTGTCTTTAGAGATTTTTTCCAGATAGTGACCTTGCTGTTCTGCTCTTAGCCCTCACACTCCCAAACCAGGCCTCAAACTCCCTTCCTGGCCCATACTGCTTCCAAAAGATTTGGGGAAAAGAACCTCAGAGTAAAGTACATCTCTTCCTCAGCTTTGCACCTGTGCTGACCAATCCCATCCCTACCACAGAAAAGCTTCCACAACTCCATCCTGTCTTTGAACTTCGGTATAGTTCATAAACCAGCCCTACTCCCCAATGTACCTCTGCGTTTGCTGTGACACCCAGCAAAGTGTGTGCCATGCCTGTGTTTCATTTCACACTTGAGGGACTTTGTGTGAGGGGATGTGTAGTTTTCCAAGATCCAGGAATGCTGCTTAATTAGCAGAAGCCTAGAGAGTGTGGTTGAAAAGCTGAGGGCATCCAGTAAGACCTAGATTCTACTTCTAGTCTTCCCAGTCACGTGTGATTTTGAGAAAATTACTTAAATTCCCTCTGTTTCAGTTCTGTCACCTATAGATCAGGAAAAAAAAAAATGACACCAGCCCAGCCCTGTCTCCTCTTTCCAGGGTTGTTGTGACACTGGAATGAGTTATGGGCTTAAGAAAATTTAAAGGGTTAGAGTGATACAAAGTGTAATTAAGTTTACACATCAGACTAACCTAATATACAATCACCACTAACCATGTCTGCGAAGAACTTATCTCAGTGCCTGGGACCTAGTAAGCATTTGATGAATGGTAGCTATTAGCATTGCTGCTCTTTTGCTTGTTAGAGTGTGCTCCCAATTGTCCCAGGATGACTGAGGCAATCTACTATTGGCTGAGAAAGTTTTCATTAGGTTAAAAAGCATTTAGAGGTCCTGCCTTCTGAAGTGTCACCAACATACAGTAGATCCTAGATCTGATGTAATCCAGAATGTAAACCATTCCCCAACTGTCAACATAACTGTTCTAGGAATGCTTTTCATTTCTCCATTTCCTTAGCTCAAAGTTGTTGAATCAGGCCAACCAGACCCAATTGGTGATGATGCCTGAGTGATGAAATTGGTGACCACAGGGAAAGGTGAAGCTAGTGTAACAAAGATGGGAGGGGCTGAGGGGAAGTATAAGGAACTACGAGGGGGTTCAGAGCAAACCTGTGGACACTGCGTTCCTGAGCTAAGGTGGAAAGTCCTGTCCCCCACAGCCCTGGCCTCAGAAACTTCATGGGGAATAGAAGTCCTGAGCCTAGAACACCCATTCCAGACAGCAGAACTGCTTTTAGTCAGATGGGCTTTTAGGGACAGCAGATAGAGGGACCAGGATTCAGAAGTCTAAGGAACTAGGAGTCTTTTTCTTCCCTGAAAGACCCCAATAGACCCCCACCTTCCCTGGAGTCAAAGGGCCTCCTCCATCTGTCTATTGGAACCCTCTTCCTCCCCCGTTGATGCCCAGAGCTGCTTTCCAATCCCATCACATGCCCCCACGCCTAACCATCCTCACTCATTCTACCAGGTGTTCTCGAGGACAAGGCTGAGTGCAGGTTCCACACCTGCTGATCTTCTGCCACATCTCACAGGGAAAGATCTGGACTGCTATGAAACTGATCTTCTGTTTGAGTGTCCTTGTTGGTATGTATCCATGACCTTCTACTCTGTGCTATAAGGCATAGGTTCATGTGGGATGGAGTAAGGCAGATGCAGGATGTGTGGAGGATGCAAAAGAAGAATAAAAACAACAACAACAACAAAAAGATCATGAGCAGAATTAGGGTTCCCCCCGCCTGGACCGCAACCAAAGGCTCTCAGGACAGGCTGAGCCCACCCTTCCTGTGCTAAGCTATGCGGTGGGTTAGGGTGCACGCCTACCACGAGGAATGCTGAACAGTGAGTGCTCCCCCCAGTTATTCTAGAATGTGGGCCTCCTCATCCACTGGGCAAGCCCCAGAGCAGCCACAAGGACAGAAGACTCATTTTGACATCTGGTATACCCTTTTTCAAAAGCTTAGAGACTCAGGATGCAGGGAACAGAGAAGGGGGAACAAAAGATCAGATACAAGGTTCCCACCTCCTGCACTCCCTGCTTCCATAAACTTTTGAAGGCAGAATTTGTTGGTAAGGCATTTTCCACCGCTCCACGGGCTGCCTGGGCTGCATCACAAATCAGTTGTGTGAGCTTGGACAAGTTAATTAATCCCTCTGTGCTTCAGGTTCTGCGGTCAAAATGGGGATGTTACTACCTGCGTTATAGAGTCGCTGTGAAGATTAAATAAATCCATGTAAAGCACTTAGGACCTTAGCTCAGTGTCTCCTATCATTAACCCTCTACCCTTTATCCTTTGGGGTTTCTAACTGCATGGTCACACAGAGAAGGATGTGGTGAGGTACAGGCCTAGCTGGGCTGGGGGTGGATTAACAGAAGTACTGAGGGCAGCCAAGATGAGATAAGTACAGTAATACCTCGGTTTGAGAGCGTAATTCATTCTGGAAACAAACTACTCATATTGCAAGACATCACTCGTTTACCACATTAAAATGTATTAGAAATGTTTGCTCGTCTTGCAGAACACTAGCAAACCATGTTACTCGCAATCCAAGGTTTTACTGTACTTTATTTCTGATACTAGAATTAGCCTTCCTCCCTTTCTTCTCGTTTTTTAAAAACAATTCATGTATTAGACTATTGCATGTTCATATTAGAAAATTCGGACATATTACAAAGTAGAAAAATGTAAATATCACTCATAATCCCACCTCTCAGTTAACACACGATAACCCTTGGTTTGAATTTACTCCCAGATTTTTTTATTTGTTTTTGTATTTAAATCATTTATTTTTTTGCTTGTTTACTTGTTTTTAGGCAATTGAATTACTGAATTTTATTATTATTTTAAACTTAAAGTTATGAATATTTCCTTTGCTGTTTAATATTCTTTATAAATACAATTTTAATATGTATGATGTTTCCATCTGTTCATGTACTTTTTCATTTCAATGTCCAACATTACTGTATTGGAAATTTACGGATCCAATTTTTAGCTATTATAAATAGTGCTAAACTGAACACACTTATTCATAACCTTTGTCTATATCTGATTATTTCTGTAAAATGGATTCTTGGGGCTGGATCAATTAGGTCCCAGGTGATGAACCATTTATAATTTTTCATGCCTATTTCTAAATTGCTTTTCAAAAAGAGAATCAATTCGCATTCCTACAAACAGTGAATGACAGTCTTTCTCCCTGTACTTTGATTGAATCTTATCAACATTAAACAAAAATGATTATTATAAATATTAGATAAAATGGCACATCATTTTAATTCATGGTTTTAGAAAAAAATGTCAAACATTTTCACATTTCCTGAGCAATCAATTACTTCTTTAAATGTGTCCATATTCCTCTTCAACTAGGAAATGGTTGATTGTATTATTTGTTCTAAGAAGGTCATACATTAAAAATACTGTTTTCTCAGGGACGCTATTCTCCGCCCACTCGTCTGTGCAGAAAGAAGACCACGCTCCCTACTTGGTGTACCTCAAGTCTCACTTCAACCCATGCGTGGGCGTCCTCATCAAAACCAACTGGGTGCTGGCCCCGGCTCACTGCTACTTACCTGAGTGAGTGGCAGCTGTCTAGTGAACAGAGGCCAGGGATGCTCTCAAACCCTACGATGCCCAGAACAGCCCCACAACAAAGAATTGTCCAGCCCAACATGTCAACAGTGCTGCTGTTAAAGAGCCCTGTTCTACATAGTACGCTTCCTCGGTCTCCCATTAGTTTTTTCAAGTGTTTTGATGGCAATATGAATGTGTTTTATAAGTTAAGGGACCAGCAGGGAACTTATGATGTACTCAAGTTGGATAAATTGAGGAAATTTTTAAAAAACTAATGACAAAGGCATGGAATAGGGAAGGAGGAAAAACACATAGCATAGCTCAGTACTCTCAGGGTCAGTATTAGAAAGGTGCAGGTACTACCCCTGGACCTAAAGGAGCAGGAGAGAGCAGTTACAAGGGGGAAGGTGGTGTGGGGGCAGAAGAAAGGAAGGGGAAGTGGCATGGAGAGGCTGCCTTATATGAGCTGTGACCTTTGGTCGTGTGACACAGCCAACAGCCCATCTGTGGTAACCCTGCAGGAAGGGGTATGGGAAGATAGATTCCAACCTCACAGTTCTTGCTCCAATTACTTTCCAGTGCTTCCTACTGGCCAAAACGCATTGATTTAATCCACATATATCATGCTCCAAAGGTACAGCACAGGATAAAGTAGGGTTGTGACTGCATCTGATGGAGCCAACAGGAGATACCATAACTCAAGTCATCCCATTCTCATACCTCCCCCAGAATGCAAATGCCCAACTGGGTAGGCTGGAGCTAGAAAGGAGGGGAAATAATATATCCATGCCATGCAGAATTTCCTCTCCATCACATTAAGGACACTACATGAAAACACAGTGGTTAAAGGCTCCACCACTGACTGTATGACCGAGGGCGAGGTACTCTTATGTGTCTCCATTACTTCATCTGTAAAATGGGGATTAAACAGATATGTTGTGAGTGGTAAATGGGGAACCCAGAATCCAGATGAAGCACTTGCCACAATACCTGGCACATTCAGTATCGGCTTTGGTGATGACAACAGTAATGATGGTTGTAGTGATTACTTCCAACCCCTCTCCCTCCAGAAACCTGAAAGTGATGCTGGGAAATTTCAGGATCAGAATCAGAGATGGGACAGAGCAGACTCTTAATCCCGTCAACATTGTCCGCTACTGGAACTACAGTCACAGCTACCCCCAGGATGACCTCATGCTCGTTAAGCTGGCTAAGCCAGCCAACCTCAGCCACAAGGTCCAGCCCCTCGACCTCGCCACCAGCAACGTCCGGCCGGGCACCGTCTGTCTGCTTTCAGGTTTGGACTGGAGCAAAGACAACAATGGTGAGTGCACCTCCCATAGCAAATCAGGGTCATCAGTTATCCCAGAAGGGGCACACCCATATCTGCACAGCTGAGAAGAGAGGCGAGGACACTGTAACTGTGGTCACAGGGACATGCCACATGAGCAGTCTGGCAGGTAGAGACCCGTCCAGAAGGCCAAAGCCTCTCCTTTCCCAGGGTGTCTGTCTAATGCCTCACTGCCTCTTGGGGGTTGGCAGCTGGACCCACAGGCCTGACTGCACAGAGGACATATTCCTGATTGCGGTTCATATTAAAGAGGCTGTGCTCTCCCTCCCATAAGGGCTCATTTCACATGGAGAGGAGACCTCAGGGAGCTGGAATCAGGTCACCCCTTACTCCTCCAAGACCGGACACTGAATAGAAGGAAAACTCTGCTCTTTACAGAGACATAAAGGCATTTCAGAATCCCTAGGATTCACTCTCATAGCCATGTCCCAGGTCATTTCTGCCCTTTTTCTCTTTTCTTAATTTCTTCAG